CAGAGACCAAAATAGGCATCTGCCCCAGAGGTCCGAACGAGCTGAGGCCAAGGGTCGAATCAAAACAGAGCGGAAAGGCATCGATCAATAGACTATTGTGAGCCCTTGATTAACCGGACCAGTCAAATTTGACTCACGTCTTCGTCTCCAACAGACTCCAGTCTGAGGCGCACTCGTCTTTTTGTTCTTCCTTTATTGTGGGTTGATCGACTCTAGCAGTTCGGCACCACACATTGGAGCGCGCCGTAGTCACGGGTGGCATCACAGTGTTAGCCCCACTGTTGAAACACAGCCGTGCATTGAAGTGCGTACGAGGGTGGTCAGTCAAACCAAGAGAGTGCAGGCGTGTACACATAACAAAGACAATCCGGCCACAGTCAATTGTGAACTACGCCTCACGCGCTTCTAGCATTATCCAATGTCGCCATACGCAATGCCTATGTCTACTCACATTGTGGCTATGTACATATAGTCAACTGACGCCCACTTAACGATAGGCCCAAGTATGTGCCTCCTAGCTTGCGTGGGACTAGCTTCAGTGTAATCAGTCGAGGCTAGCGTTGATTGTCGGACGTGAATAGACATCTGAAGCGTATCAGTCTACACGTGCACCATGATGGCGCAGGCGGGCCTACGTTCCGGAGGAATATTAACACTCCGCTATTTTTTTGGCTGATTATTGATCGGTCACTTCACGGACAGTACGCAGCTGTGTGCGTGCGCGCGCACACTGCTTGACCTGCGAACCAACTTGACTAACTAACAGAAGAGTATAAGTTCCTCCAGGTGCAATTCGGTTGTACATTGATTGCAGTAGCCCGAGATAGGCTGGGTTCTTTGTCCACTCTACTCCTTGTGTCTAGCTCGCGATTTTTCAGGGTTGCTTACAACTGGCAGTAGTCACACGTTTGCTTCCATATCAAAACTTGTCTGTTTGCTTAAGTTATGTTTGATTTTAATCACCCTGAAGGTAACTGTTCGTGATATTACAAAATTTGGAGCTGTCTCGCGAGTGCGACCTTGTATCTGAACAATGTTCAGATGTTTGTGACCTTGCTGTGTTGGCTGTTTACGGGCACCTTGGAAGATGCAGCACGCTCGTACGTCGTGCTGTTGCTCCAGTGTAATGTGACCACCCAGAGCTAAGCGGTCTAATGACTCCGCGCAGTCAGCCGCGACCACACCGTCTGGTAGCGCGGACCTTTGGATTACAAGCCAGATGCCTGAAGCACTCCGCCACCGGCCTGACTGCAACCTTACATATTTATTTATGCCATCTGGAATCTCATTCATTCAACTCTATCCTCTTTGGCAATGATCGTTTTATTTATTTAGTTTCTACCCTCTCTTCATCTTGGTCTTATGTCGTCGACTCACCCTCCTTAGGTGTTGGACGAGTATTAGCCAATCGCTTGGTTTCTGCTTTCGGGGCTTTCACATGTGGCGATTTAATGAAAGCTGCTTCACTTTCGCAGTTGAAAGATCTACTTGGTCCCAAAACTGGTGAGCGCCTCTATTGGCTCTGTCGTGGAAGAGTAAGTCCACACCACGTTAGGCATTTTGTTTTGTGTGTGTGTGTTTGACAGTTGACAAAGGCACTTGTTTTTCTCTCACTACATTCATCAACCAAATCATTGACAACAATTCGGTAGTGTTTATCTTCGGCTTTGATCTCAGCAGTGGAGCTTATTACACACTTGGCGCTTGTAAGTAGCATCGTATTTGCGATCCGCAGCATTTGCCATGTCTAGGCTACTGTCAACAGACGTGGTTGGGTGTACTGGTCGAATGGTTCCCAGTGAGCACTTGTGTGTTTTCGTTCTATCAGGCACCAACCGAATTAACGGAAAGTGGCTGAAAACCAGTCGTATTTCCGTACTTATGGCATACGCTCCCACTCACTGTAACAAACAGATCGACGATCACAATTCCTATCAACGGCTGGCGTTTCCAATTCGCTTGACTATATCCGGTAGGGAGCGAAATCTCCCATGAAAGCTCTTCATTTCAATATGATAACGAGTTGAGCCACTGAGGTAGAGCTGAAATATCAAGCTGCTTCAAGAACATTCATGCCCATCACGTGACGTGTGGTCTACCTCCTCATTCGTCGGATCGGGTTTCCACACCACTACTTTTGCCAGCTGTCCTTTACATTCCTAGAAGCGTACATTCTTGATTGACCTGTAACTACACTTTGTTTCTCAGGCTACGTGTATCCGTTATCGGTAGTTCCTCCTCCGCCAATCTCCGCGACCTGTGGCATCGGCGCGACATTACTCTCGCCCCGAAGAGCAGTTTACAATGCAACTATCTGTCCAACCGTCCTGTACGGTTACGACGGTTAAGGCGGCTAGTTATGTTCGATCATCGCTGCCTTGGCTGCATAGCTTACATCTGGTGGGAACACCGTGTGAGAAATGAGCGCGTTTGGCGTCGTGTATTTGGTGCAAGAAGAGCGAATGGATCGCTCAGCACCATAATCTCACGCACCATGCTCCGACGGCTGGGTCACATGTTGCTCATGTCAGCACAACGACTACCGCAACGTACGTTGTTTGAGCGTCCGGATTGTGGATGGGAGAAGAGGAGGGAAAACCAAACGATGACTTGGTCAGGAGGAATGAAGTCCCTCACTTCGAACTTTGCGTCAATTGCTGTCTCCCGACTACCGGACTAGGGTTCTAAGGACGATGAACGCGTCTTGTTTTATACTTTGGACATGGCCAAGAGCCGGCCCAAATGGCGTTTGTCGTGTGAGTTTCTGTGTCCTTCCCAGTCCCGCTTACCTTTCACCTACAACCAAGTGCTCACACGTGATGCGTACTATGATATTGCGGCACATTGGCTGAAGTGTATAATGCTGCTGCTGCTGCTGATGATGATGATGTTGAGGACATGAAGAGAGAAAGAATTTATCCCAATTCATCGAACGAACCAGGTCCTTGAAAAAGTCCCAGCTGACAGAACTGAACAGATGATAATGCATTGTTTGCTGTACATCGACCATGCGTAGCCTTAGGCTTCATTTGATCACGCAATGATCGCTACCCGGAAATTCATCAAGGATGTTAACACTGATTGCAGGTATGTCCAATGAAAAAATGAGATCCAGAGTACTTTCACCTCTGATAAGTTGGGAGACGTGTTGCTGCCAACCATTCATTTGGATACAGGAGATAAGAGTTTGGTATTTCAAAGGAGCGGTTCCTATTGGCCATGAACTCGAAGGCAGATTGAAATCACCTCCAATAATCTTATGTACAAATGATAGGCTAGCGGCGCATTCAAATGCAAGCGTCATAAGTTCTAGGTCTTCTTGGCTGCAGTTTGGTGCGCTGTATATCCATCACATAAGCAGCTGCTGCTGATTAACAGATATCGTAAGCCACAGTGATTCCTGAACATTGTTCAGCACTGGATTATCTAATGTTGCTGCTGCGAGCGATTTTTTCAGATAAATTACACAGCCACCACCTCGACGACTGGGGCGATTTCTCATAAGCTTGTTATATCCGAAAATAATTAACTGAGTGTCAGACATGCCATCATGGCACCAAGATTCAGTTATAAATGTTATAGGATTACTCATCAAAACGAACGAGCGTAGTGTGTTGATCTTAGAGCGAGGAGATCGAATGTTTATTAAAAATACTGAGATAGATGTGCGATATGAGGAAGATTCTTTAGGTTGTGTTTTACACACTAGGGTTTCAAGCCGTGTGCCTGGACCCAGGTTAGAAATTGTTGAAAAAGTGCGTGTATTGCCAACGGTGGAAAATCATTTGGAGGTGGCCACAGCGGAGGGGTTGAGACTGAGTATAGCCCTCTGGAAAATGATTCGAGGGAAAGAGTCCATGATTAATGCAATAGCCTGTGGGAGCTGGAGAGTTAGATTGTGTCCTCTGCATCATGTCGCTAATAGGCTGTTGATTACATAACGCATTGATAGGAGTCAGTGGGTTGCTGCTATTTCCATCTGTGGGTAAAATCCGCTTAATTGCACTCGATATACAAGGCTTCAGTATACGCGGTGGAGGCACACTGGTGTCAGTCCATACACCAACATCAACATAATCCATGTGGTTCGTTGATGGAATCGGAAAGTCATTATCATAACTTTCCGATTCCATCAACGTGTAAGGTGCAAAGATGGCGGCATGTCTTCCATAACTATGACCAATGGATGTACGTCTATCCAAACAAAATGACGATACAGAGTCGCCCAATGATGCTTCCGATAAATCTAGGTTAACCGTCCTTTTACTATCGATCAACTTGACCGGATCCATCGATATTCTCGATGAGCTTGGACAATGGCCAGAGCAGACTTGAGGCGAGACATGACAGTTCGACGCTTGAGGTAGCGGTTTTGCATGCAACTGGGATTTAGCAGGTAATGCGGTTGTTATTCGCTGCTTCCCATTGTTGTCACTTCGCATACAGGAAAAAGTATTAGGAAACCCTGCCAGAACAGCTTATCCAAGAGGAAGAACCATTCACATCCCTAGTTTTGTGGATTGTAGTGGTTTTGGGCTTGGTCGGCTTATCATGCTTAGCCGTGAAACTGCGGCCTAGTGGAGGTCCTCCAGTAACCAATTTTGCATCTGACATTGATCTTAGCTCCGAAGTGCGAGAATTAGGTGTTTTACCGGACACAGCATCCAGTGCAATAGCGTGGCCCGCATATTCATGTGATTCCTTGTTCATTTCGAAAATTACTACCATTCACCGTTTCGTCCCTATTTGCAGCAAGCGGAGTATTATCCTCACATTTGTGTTGGCCACTAAGTGGAGCAATATCAACTGGATGTGGGGCGCCACATGGCTGTTGGGTATTCTGTTTTACCTCAGACGTTCTCCTTATCTCTCATTGCAACGGGGTTTTGCCCTCCATAATTTTCAGATTTTTGAGTCGTATTAAGCACAATGAGATTGCGCTTTTGAATGAATGGTTTAGCAATAAGTTCATTTTGAAACTGAAAATATATGGGACACGCGTAACGCATTACATTTTTGCATAGTCTGATGCAGCTGGACCAACAAGATTGCATACCGCATGCAGTGAGAAGCACTTTCTGAACAGTTTTTAATGCTAAGTTGTCTGGCACATTAAAAACCACCGCATTGCGTGAACACCGTACTCGATTGTGTACTACGGTCAAAATGGAGTCTATCAGTACCATGCACTTCATGAGGTTCATTCTATCAATATTTGGGGGCGATTCAAATAAGACAGCTAGACTGCAAAGGTTGCAATATCGATGTGAGCATGTCGACTTTTGATGCAAGTTCAGCGTATGCAGTTTCAGCTACTGATTGACATTTTTCAGGTGTCTTTCTCAAGTCAGCATGTAGTCCAAGGGAAATTCCTACAGCGCCTACACTACTTTGGGTATTTTCTTTACTACTGCTTCCAACAGTTGTGCGGAGTACCTTAGTTCGTTGTCTCAGATTTTGAACTAAAATGGAAGAATCCTGGCCCATAATGCTTTTTTTCCTCATCGAGCGTGTCCTTACTGTAGACATGATAATGAAACCGAAGTAAGATACACTGAAGCAAAATCAGAGGAGCTTAGACAATGGGTGCTAACTTTTGATCCTTAACTGAAAATCCACGTCTAATATAATGCTGGTAAAAATGGCAACTCCCGGAAACTGTGCGATTTAATTAGGAACAACAAGAACGCACCGCAGTGAGCTATATGAATCTCCGCCTCCAAGTTGCACACGCTGTTGCTTTGGAAACGCGATCTCTCCAGCAATTCCAAACGTGTTGTTGTTGTCTCACCTTTCCACACACCGGTTAGCAGTGAGGTCAGCACAGACGTTCCTCGTGGCAGGTCACAAGCGGTTGCAGGTGAATCCAGACAGGCCTCGGAACGAAGCACAAGCAATCGATCTTGTCAGAGCGCTTCTTGGTGTGACCGGTGGGTTGATTTGAAGTGGCAGCCTCAGTGACTGCGACGTAATGGAAAGATTAGCCTGTCTGTATCTGCCTTACGCAGCTATCAATAAAAGCAGTCGTGTAGTTGTAAAAGAGCCCGTATGTTGGGCTTCCAAAGAAGGTCACAATTTGTGGTGTAGGATGCAAACCGAAAGAAATTTCTCATGTAAACCTTCACAGAGAAAACGGAAAATGTAAAAATCGACGGGAGCTAGTCGTCTGTAATGCGTGGATTCAAAATACGCTGCGCGTTGGAAAGAGCACATCGAGCCGGTAATTAGTTCTTTTCTCGTTATCCTTTTTACTCCGTATCAACTGTGAACGTTTGCTACAGGCGATGGGTTCGTGCACTTGTATTCCGAATGAGATGTCCCCAGCCTTTCTGAACTTTGTGATCAGCTTTTTCGTTTTCAGGTTAATCGCAGTCTCACCTTAATTCTGACGACCAGGAGCGGTGCGTTTATCTTGTAGGACAGGTGTTGCCATACTACTATGGGCATTTAGCTAACAATTCATGATATTCGGATACCGTCCTCCATGGCACAGTTGCATAAGCTGCGGGCTAGTTGGCAAGAGCCACTAGCAGTCATGGGTTCGATCCTCCGCAGAGGACGGAAGAATGCGCACCATTGATGAGCCCCAATAGGCCGAAACGGCCGTCTGGTGCTTTTCCGGATAGCTGGTCGACATATCTGAATTGTCGGCTGATTGCGACGAACAAAAATACTACCAGAGAGGTTGCCTATGATCGGAGATCCCAAGCGTGAATATTAATCCCAGTACGTTCGTCGGCCTTATTGATTTGATTATGTACTGAGCCCAGTCATCTACTCTGCTAGCCAACAAGAAGTATGTATGCAGCGATAAGAATGGCTGTGTTGATCAAGTGTTTTGGTGAATTGAAGGCACCGGCGATTATCTTGGGTCCGTGGGGTAATACCCATCCGAAACCAAATGCCGAGGAGGCTGTTCCGAGATCCTCCTTGTTGTTGTGCTGCTGTGCTGCTTTGTCTCTGAGACTGCGACCGTCTGTCTGCTCATCCACGCGCTCAACCAACCGAAGGAAATCCAAAATCCTGGGCTCGGTAGTCAACTCGCCTCTTTATTGAGAAACATATACTAATTTTGGATAACATAGTCACCCAATTTTCGGTGTCTGGCCCACAGTCAATGTGAGCGAGTTCCGTTCCACTGGTATGCCATAATTAGCAGAATCGTTCCCCTCCGCATTCGACTCCGCTCAAACCCCAGACGCCAGCTTGAATTCTCTGGACAATCAACTCTAGCCTGATTCCCAAATTCGACAGAACAGCCGAACGCGGTTTCTCGCTTGTACGCGTGGCCTTCACCCGCTGCTGTCGTATCGCTTGCTCTCCGGCAAGCTGACGCGCACTGTAGCCACTGCGCACGGTACCGCCTTGTTCGTGCTCATTGACTTTTCTTGGATCACTATTACTGTCGCTTTCGGAGGTTTGTGGATACGACCGAGAAGTATCGCAGTAGAGTCTGCAACGACGGATAGCCATAGAGATTTAGAGATATTGTTTAACTGTAGGTCGTCAAGATGCTCCGATCTGAATTTCCGATGAAGATATGCGATACATCTGCCTCCCTGCCACGATCTTTTCGAAAGAGGTTTTAGTTTGGAATATTTGAAGTAGAATCCGTCTTCAGTACACCGTTTTTCGATCGATGCTGAACGAACACACAAGGAGGCGCAAATACTTCTTTATCTACTCGTTCGGAATGCAATCTTTTTATGTGCTTGTCATACGTTTCGTCTTATTCTCTTTAATCGATGCTGTACACCTTCTCTTTCTTAGTAATGGTAGTCTTCCGAAGATCGCCACCCCCCTTTTCTGTTCTCCGCACACTGATACCCTGTCATTGTTTGTCTGTGTTGTTGGGATTGGTTACATAATTCATCATTACATGTTCTCCTTCCATGTAGTTTCCAATTCAATTCTAACCACGAAGTTCACTGCGCTGCGATCTTTAGTCGAGGCTTGAATCCGTTTCTGTTTCACAATTTGTAGTGACCACTTACTTGAGTACTCACTCTTAGCGTTTCTCTCTTCCGACGTGCCTGTTATGTCATGCGTTGATTTTCTCTTTAGGACCCATCAACCCCCTGCCCTGCCAGTGTTTTCGAAATATTCACTAATATTAGCGAGTGTACCAGCTGTAATTAGACTATCCGCCGAAAGTTACTAGGTCGTATACTGGCTTGCCGCTCTTTTGCAGTAATTTTCCATCTCACTGGGAAATTGCATTGCATAGCGATCGTCAATCAAAGTTGACATGTTGCCTCCATTGTTCAACTAATTCACTTCTGACCTCCCCAATTACCATGGTTTGTTTTTTTAGCTCTACAGATGTAGCTATTTTGCTGAGGTACACAATATAACTGATTTTCTGGTTTATCAGTGTATAACTGAGGTTCACCATCTCGTGGATAAATGCCTTTACTAACTGCTTTAGCATCGTTTGCTCTGTGCCAGCAAGTGCCAGTTTCCTCCCTAACCACTTCGTTTGGCATTTATATCAGGGAAAAGTGCCAGATGGCTTTGTGTAGTTTCCCGATTAACTGCTCACGCTGTAGAGGCTTCAGCGTACATTTAGTGCAGGAGAAATATGTCCCCGTTCTTGGTCTATTTTTGTTAATAAATCTTCTACTTCGGACCAATTTCGATACCATTGTACTTGTCACTTTGGGTGTAATTTTGACCTGCCGTCGCAGTTTATTTAATCAGTTGTTTGTTGCATGATGTTGCATCATGCTGCCGTCTTTCTTCATCACAATGGTTAATGCATCTGTATAACGATGATTGGTCGCGCAGTCAGTCTGAGACGCAAGACAGTCCAGTTGGCCAGCAAGGCACTTTCTTTCTGTCTGTTGCTGTTCTTACTCCCTCATGCACCTATATTACTGATATAATGTGATAAAACGCTTGCCCTTTTATCTGCCTTTTCACACTATTCTGCTCGTTTATATGTATCCGATGCCTCGTTTTGGCAAACTTGCTTGATTTCTTTGGAGCATCTCATGCAAAAGCTGTGATTATTCGGCTTTTCGCGGTCCGCAATTACACTGTAAATACCTGTCAGTGCACTTACCGCAACCACTGTCGGCACCCTTTCGACTAAAACGGGAATGCTTTATAAATATGAGTGCTATGACTAACACGGTCTGTATCGACTGTCATCCCATTTGCCTGTTGTTTTTCTGAGCACTTTGTTGCGGATCAGTAGTATCTGCTATTGTTGGCGCAAAATTCCCTTTCTCGTGGAAACATTCATCCCGACTTGAGTTATTTGTTGTGCTTATCTGCACTTTTCTGTTACAGGACCCCACTGAGGTGCTGCACTTTGAACGTGAGCGAAAATCGGTCTCCGCTTGCATAAACTACGGATTGCGGTTACAAACGGTGGGTACATTGTTACTTGCACTGTCCCAAACCATTCGTTGTTGTTTGTACAAACAAGAGCGAATGAATATTTTTGCAGCACTTTGCTCGATTTTATTAAACCTGCTTCATTCATTCATTCATATAGAACGGCGTTTCTTGTTGCGCAGTGCGCTGTTGTCAGCATCAAACATCGTTGCACGGAATCATGGTTTGATTGTAATGCTTTTCGGATCCAATCCGTGTGCACACGTCGCTTCAACAAGTTTTCAAGTTTGTACATCACGCTCCTCCTTTTACCTACTGGATTTTCGCCTGACAAGCATCCAGCATATTAAAATCCTGAGCTGTTCGTTTAACAACACTGTGACTCGCTACTAAATAAGTTCACTCTGGCGGAGCATTGTATTCCAGAAACTCGCCGTTAAAATTGTGGGATGCATTGCGCCCCTGATTGGTAGTCCGCAAAACGTAAGAAACATGAACTGAATATCCATTCACCAATTGTCAATTATCGTTCTCTGAATTCCTTCAGCTTCTTTGCGAGTAGGGTATTCAGTTAAAGGCTCGTGGTTTTGCCCCCTAAGTTAACTCCCCACTTCGGCTTATGCAACCGCGTAATGTGATGCCCCCTGAATAAAGCATGGATTATTCCGCCAAGGGATTAGGTTTCTTTTCACAATAGTCGCGATTTCCTTTGTTTTCCATGGCTTTTGATGCTTTCATGTCCCTTCGTAAGCTGCGCGTATATATATATATATATATATATATATATATATATATATATATATGAAAAAAATGAAATGTGTCAGCTTATACGCCGTAACGGCGCTTCGCTGCCGCGCGACCACCACCAGTCGCGCGCGGGCTGAGTATACCGTGAGGACGCCCACCCCTACGCGGATTCGAACCGGTGACCTTATGGTTGGAAAGCAAACGTGCCGACCACTCGGCCACCGGCCGACAACTATATATATATATATATATATATATATATATATATATAGTTTGGGCTTGCTGAAATTCCTGGTTACCTGTTTTCGGAAGTTTTGCGCAAGGAGCCCTATGGGAATGGCGTAGACATATGGGTATGTGGTCACTTCGCAGATATTGTATCGCTCTTGATTAACGTCGCATTCCATCCTTTTAACTCGGTTTCTTCCTTACTGGACAGCATACTCTGCTCCCGATATTTTCACTGCTGTTTCCTTAATCCACTTGCTTTTTGCGGTGTTAACCTTCTCCTTTCATTGAGCATCCGTTTTCGTGTCACATGGTCACTCCACACTTATTTTAATGATTTTTAGTGCCCCAACCGTTGTACTTGTTTGCCCTAGCAGCGTGTCTCACTTCACTAACTTTGGGAATTGTGGACAGACTGGCGGTTCTTACCTCTCCTATACTTCTTACTGCCTGTGCGGCACGTGTTCTTTTATCACGTTTTCTTCGCCCACCTGTTTGACCCCGATATCTGCGTAGTACTGCTGATATGTGATGGGTAAACGGCGTGATTACCACGGAAGTTCGTCCTACTGCTTTTATGGCCTCCTTAGTGGATACTGATAGAAATGAATGCAAGTTCATGGTGCACGCCCTCTAAAAATATCCATGGAGCACACCACAAAACTCATGCTACGTTTGGATGTGGTTGATGTCCCAGTAAGGGGAAAGATGCCATTCGTGTGTGTTTTTCTTTTTTACCCCCGGGTGATTGTAACACAGCGCCCAGTACAATTGAGAAATGATTGCCAGAAATTTCATTAGAAATTCTCTGTTCAAGGCACTTCTATTTGCATGGCCTTTTAAGACCCTTGGTGGATCTCGAAACATTGAAGCACCTATTGTTCCGTGCATATGCCTGCAAATCCGCCTTCTGTAGTTTAGCCATACCTTCCTACCTTCTTTTTCGGTGTGTATTATCTGCCACTACTGCGTCCAGTTGGGTGAAACCCCAAAGTGACCAACGAACCACATAGCAAATTATGTAGCGACTGGCAGAGCGATTGAACCGAGTTGGCATCTGCCGTCTTCCTGGATAGGTCCTCGAGACCGGTTGCCTCAGTGACCAGGCGCCTTATCGGGGACACGGCGTGATCACTGAGCCAGTGGCACTCTTGCTTTCATTCCTGCACCTCGGACTCACGAGTATACAACCCGATGATTTTACTTATTGTTCATTTCTAGCGAATTTTCATTATACTAATTATAGGTATTTCCGCAACGCGTGTCACGACAGCTGGTTCCATCGCGCTTCGGTCTACTGATCACAATTGACAAACTGTACCGAATTCATGTGTGCGCAGTGCGTTTTCTGTTACTGCCTTCGCGCAGATGTGATTGATTTCAAAATTCAGTGAACTGCTACCTAGCATTGCGGATCCTCATCGCCCTTTGCGACTCCATCTGGCTAGCGGTATTCGGTTTCCATGTGTCCTCCATCGCACTTCGCTGTCGTAGGCGACCTATATCACTCCATTCGTGATCTTACTTGATTTAACCAAGAGTCCAATGGCCACAACATTTCGGAGAAGCCGAATAACCGGTTGGATCTCATCGGTGCGTGGATTAACGCACCATGCATTTCGCCATAATCGTCCTGGGTCTGATCGAGGACTAAGGATCGGCTTACTTGAGCCTGCACAAGGGCAGGCGGCCATTGCAGTATCCCTAGTCTGTGCGCTACTGTCCGTGGTTGCGTCGTAGCGAATCGTCGGTACAGCGCACCGGTGTACTACTGATAACCTCTCTTTTTTCTTTCTACAAAGCACTGCTGCGTCGTGAGCAGGAAATACTATTATGCCGAGCAACAGTAGAGGTTGGACAGCATCAAGTTGCCAACCGGCACTGAAAAGGTGAGGCGAATTGTCGGCTTCATCAGTCATGAACCATCGCGGCATACACTGCACTGCAAGTACTTGCTTGCTTTGTAGTTAGTAAGCTTCGCACTTCTTTTTTATCTATTTATTTATTTAGGCCGCGCTTCATTCTGTGGTTACATTGTGAGACTCGGCGACGGAATGCCTCATGATAGAGTTCACAAGCGAGAACAAAAACGAGAAAATAAGGTGACCACCTAAAACTTCGCGAATTATCGGAGATGCCTCCATTCACACACCCGACTCTTGACGCGCTCGAGCACATGGCTCGTAGTTCATAACAGCATCACTCCGGACGAGTATTTCCGAAAGAAAAAACGGGCAACTGTGTTGGGCGGACTCGTGAAAACGAGGAACTCTGCTATGATGGGCCTGCGGTATGTGTGACACTGCTTAAGCACATACCGCAGAGCTAAAATATGAACATTACAACGCTTTCAAGCTCGAAGACCCGTCAGTTGCTTTTCTATCCGGGATTCCCGCTTCGCGGTAAGGTGGTGTGCGAAAATTGAAGCCGGTATCAACTCGATAAAAGAAGGACAACAACAGTACGCCGGGACGCTGTACTGACGCTTCGCTGCCACGCAACCACCGCCATTCGCGCGTGGGCTAAGGGTACCACGTTGATCGCCCGGTCTCCTACACAAGCGTGAACCTGCGATCTCCGGGTTGCAAGGCAGACGCCTTTTCCTTCTGCCCACGCGCCGATACACTGTGAATAACAGAGCAAAAAAATGAGTGATTTGCTCTGGATCAGAATACAAAGGAATACGGAGGAGGCACATAAGACAATAAAAACGACAAGAACAGAAGTCGTTGGTGGGTATGCGGTTCGAGGAAGCTGATTTAAAGTCAAAGACCAGGACTGCATAAGAACAGTAGACAAGCAGCCTACATATTAGAAGACGAAGGCGATATGGTGCGCAAGTAACAAGCCGATCCATCCTCGGTGTGACTAGTTTAGTAATAACCCCCTCCCCCGGACAATCGAATATAGACAGGTAGGGAACTCTAGCCGGAACGTTGAGTAGAACGTTCATTGCCCGACCCCATAGCATATGGATGTTTTAACGGGATTAGGTACGCAAGAAATTCTGCGCTTGATCTGAGGTCGTATCTTCTGTGAGTGCGCGCGCGGGTGCGTTGCCACTCTAACATCGTTCTGCGCTTGTCATCCATCTCATGTTCCACGTTGGGATACAATCACCCCCATTGATATCGACCGGCGTTCATTGTGTGCCCCATGCTGAGGCTGATGTTGCATTAGTGATGCTTCTTCACCGCAGTTGGGCTAAACCAACTTACACTTAAACTAGGTCTTTTTAAGCTGGATAAATTTCATTCCACTTTATTTGGTTTGTTCTGCCTACCTGAAGGACCTCTTAACTGGCCACGTTTCTTACGCTAATTGCGCTTATCTTCGGTAACTTTGTTGCGTTTGTAGCATTTTAAGTAACTTGTGGACATTTTTTCCTTATCCCGGATTCGTTGCTAACCAACTTACTTCATATGCTAATTTAGCGAATGGTTATGTCACCGTATCTGTATGCATTATTCGATTTATCTTATTTCATCTTGTCGTTTCAAGTGATTGGCTGTTGCTTGATATCCCCGCTCCAACCACCACCTTGTGTGCGCTTGATTCCCCAAATACAGCGTGCTTGTGTTTACCTGTGAAGGAGTGTGGGCCGGCTCCGTTGATGTAACGTGGCTCCCATCCACATGCCTCCCGGTCTTATTCCTTCGGGTTTACACTGGATATGGGGTGTGTGGGTGGTGCAGCGGGAGCCACCCATGGTCCCTCTGTAGGCGCAGGCGTCCTGTGGCTGTCCACAGTGGCAGGCAAATCCGAAACCGGATGCCGCCAACCATTGTGTGAACCTACCCCTACCCATTACCTCGCCGGACGCCTGATGCCAAATCATGCACGTCGTGTCTGCATGTTTGTATGTACTAGTGCCCCCTCTTCTCCCTGTGTGTGTGAATACGCAATGACCTCGACCGCCGTACTCCACCATTTGCCAGACGGCCTTTGGTACTTCACCCCCGTTCGCCTAACATAGGGATGTCCAAAGTCCGGTCCACAGCCCAAATGCGGCCCGCCGCCTTGCAATTAAGAAGTTGTCACTTTTAGTGTATCTAATT